CCTCTTAGAGAAGGCCGCCAGATATGAGTGGTATATTGGTAACTGCCCTACAGCTGCTCTACCTGAGACAAACAATCGATTTGAACAAACGACTCTAACTAGGCTGCGCACTGCGCATCTGCGCAGTCTACGTTTTGTGTAGCGCGTTAAAGTCTATTTCTTATGGCCCAAATGCAACTTGACCAAACCAAATGCAAATGACCCAAGCCACTCCTACCCAAAATCCTTTTTGCCTTGTTTGCCAGAGGAATCAACTGCTCTTCTGTTCTGGAGTTGTTATTCGGGGTTTTGAAGTTCACGAGCTCATGGACCTGATCAGCTGTTACTGTCAAGTGAGTAATATAAACCATACAGGTTCTAAAGAAAAAGTAAAAATGTTAAATGATTTAGTCCATTTCTGTGTAAGCTTTAGGGCTTGAAGTAAAAAGATTTATCGGAAAACTGAGAAAAGTAGTTCAAAGAATTTAAACTCTTTAAATAGTCCTTAAATCATTTCAAATTCTTTAAATATTTTTATTATTGAATGTCAGTACTTATATATCTAACATAAATTCTCTTATTATTCAATTTACAAAATATAAGTATAAATTACATGCTTTTATTTGAAACATAATATCTGAGAAAATATTGCAAGAAAAAATCATCAAATGCAAGAAGAATTTTTCTTTGTCTGTTTTAGTTTTGTAAATAAATTCGTGTATTAATTCATGTATTAAAATTATTTTGTCCAAAACAATTTTAATACATGAATTAATTATAGCTGTAACTCCACGGCGCAACAAGCGCTACCTAGCGGCCGTCGGAAGAAACACCAGCCAAAAAAAGACTATAGCGTTTAGTCGATATACTGGAGTCAAGAACTAAGCATGTTGTTTCTCCGAGATGCTTTTCCCCGAGATTTACTTTGTAACTTAAATGTGTAATTATAACGCCCTTAATTGTAATGTTTTATCTTAACTGGGTTTTGTTAATTGAAACTATTTAAAAAGGCCAAGTGAGCCTTTTGTTTTTGGTAATTTTGGTTATAGTTGGACCCAAAGTGGGGTGTCACTTTGTGAGGGATCGTTTTAGATAGGGTCATAGAAGAGTCCTGTATAGTATAACATATATTTATTAACAGGTTTAAGTTACATATGGACACATTTAACTTTAAGAAAATTACAGAGCAAGAGTCTTATACAACCTATCAGGTTAGACACTTGGCTTTTACTAAGTCCTTCTCTGGCTACTCACCAGAGGGCAGCCTTGTTGCCACAGTTAGTCCAACAATTTATGTTAAAGGATTGGTTATATAATATATTTTCTAGAACAAATATAATTAATATTAATAATATTAATTTGTCGTTTAATTCATGCTTCAAAAAGCAACATTTATTTTATTTAAAAGCGCTCAGTAGCAAACATGATTTGTTCTCTTCTTTTAGCCATTTGCTCTCGTCTATAAATTACATTTTAAATTAATTTGTAAGTATTTTAATTTTAAAGCGTAATATTTGTTTCAGCACGGTTATCAATAATGCTACTGTCAGGAACATAATCACTTTCATTATATCTCTTCTTCCTGCTTTTATCACAAATAATCCCCGTTTCTGATGAAACATAACAAAACTGACCTGTAATATACATATAAATATTTACGGCGCTAGGTAAAAAAAGAAGAAAAAAAAAATCAGCCGATTTTGGTAGCAATCAGGCGCTTTTATTCTTGTATGTTAGTAAATTGTGCGTTTTTCTTCTTTAAAAGCGGTTGAATTATATTGTTCTTATGTTTCGGTTCAGGTTTTATGTCTTTAGTTAATCTGCATGCGACAGCTGTAGAATTATAAACAATTTAAAAATTGTTTAAGTGTTACTAAGCCTAACGAAACAGCCATTTGTTTACAAATGAAACTAAGTATAATAGTGATTTAAGTCAGTTTCTGCACCTTCAATGTCTTTTTGCCGAGCAGGACCGAAAGTAAACTTTCAGTTTTGTGCACCAAAAAATCAGCCTTCCTGCCCTCTGGCTGATTGCTTGTTTTTGCTTAGACATAAATTTTTATTGTAAAAATTGTTTTCCCAACTGTTTTTAACTATATTTGGTCTTTTTTGTTTTTCTGTATCCTGCTATTTTTAATGATGTTGTTTTGAGTTTCATGTATTTTTAACTTGTTGCGAAGTGAGAATTGAATTAATTGAATGAGAAATATATCTCAAGTGGAATTCAAGGAAATAAGTTTAAATTAAATTCAGCAAAAAATGTGTGTAATTTAACAGATTGTACGAGGAAATCATGTGGTGTTCACATCAGATTTTTTTTAATGTGTTTATACAAAACACATTTATCTTCGTTACGTTGCACGTAACATAAAAGAACATTTCGACTAAATTTAACTGGAAAATGCTGATTTTAGGATAGATCAAATTAAACCAAAATAGAAGTGTGTGTGTGATTATGGCAAAGCCTCGAGGGCTATCTGCCTAAGGGGAGGGATGCCTTCGTGGAGGACTTTATAAGGGAAACTGGCTCATATACACGTTACACATGGGGAAAACCACGAAAACACCCATGCAGCCAGCCCGTTCGCGAGATTCGAACCTGGGACCGAACTACCAATGTTTAGCGACTTTACCAAAATAGAAGAAAAACCTGCTGAATTAAATTTATTATAAGAAAGATATCTTCCTTTGAGTTGAGAACTGAATATGGTTTATTGAGCACTTACTTTTAATTGGTTTACAAATGATCACATTAATATTTTCCATTTTAAGTGAGAATCAAACCTATGTAAACAGCGTGATCAACATAGCGTAAAAAGTGTAAATACCTACAACAATGTACTAATATTTTGCAACATCAGCAATGAGATGATATTAAATATTCGTAGGAGTTCGCAACGTTTTTGAGTGTTATACCGTAGGCAAAATAAATCCTTGTTAAACAAAGGAAGTATCAGCCAAGTGAAAATTAAGCTAAGGTTTAGTTACTCTCATAGAAAGGGAAAAAAAAATGCAAAATCCTCTACGTGCAAAAGAAGTTTTCATATCTAAAATATAAAACAAGTATAATCAAACAGATTGAAAACGTCAGGGATAATTTTGATCCTGAGTCCGTTTAATGCTGGAGACCAAAATATAAAATGTTAAAAAGACGCCATGCTTTATGCAGATTTATGAAGAATCTGTATTTTTTTCAGTTAGAAAGGCGATAAAGAAATTTCTTATCAAAAAAATCTTTCACGACATCAGACAGGTGGCATTTAATATGTTGACTGCCCGAAATGATTAAGATTTTCAATGTATGCTAGAAAATTCCTTTTTATATTCACATCTGGATGTTTTAAATGGCTGACACGTCAAGAAATGTATAAAAGGTTTCAACTTGACATATCTTAACAATAAGAGTAGAAAGTTACATATACAACATTTGGAGAATTTTATTTGAACCTGGTGAAAGACAGAACTATTGTATGTAAATGAAACAGATGACTGATACTATAACGTATCATTTTGAAAGTTTTTATTAATGTTTAACAATAAGTTACTTTCTATCATAGAATTCAATACTTAAATTAATTACATAAATTTTTAAATTGATAATCTTAAAGGAAATTTTGTTTATTGAATTCAGTTGCTAATGTATGTTAATTACGTTGCCTTCAGGGAATAAAAATATAATCAATAATTATTTTGAAATGAGCGACTTCTATCGTATGACAATGCATAATTATAATAAATGTGAATAATGAAATCACCGTTATTGTGTTCTCCGATAATCATCAAACTCATTCGCTCGTCTGAAATCAGAAAAATGTTCACGAAATTCATAGTGGCAAAAAGTCAAGATTGCGCCTGTCGTTAGCGAGAACCTTGGACACCACAAAGATGACAGTATGACATAGCCCAGTTCCGCCCCCGATTTTGAAGAAGAGTCCCCGACGGGACTTCCACCCCTATTTCCCTACCACCAACCTCTCGAGAGAATTTTTGACTCGCCGCATATTTTGCGTGCCCCCATGCCGCACAGACACTATGATTTTACAAGCATCCATGCCTTCTCCGAGATTCGAACTCGAATCCTTCGGTATGGTAGTCCGATTCACTAACCACAATCCCTCTTTTGCGGGTTTTCGAAACGTGTTGATGCTTAAATTGTATGAATTTTACAGTTCTTCTAAGATTCATTAACGACGAATGATGTTATTCTGTGACAAGTATTACTTTAGAGACATCTGTTAAACATAAAAATTCAAATTTCTTTATTTGTAAACATTTAGCTGTTAAACTAAGATACTATATAAATATGCATTTACATGATCTATTTCTTTTATGAAAATTGAAACGCTCGATCAAAGGGCTCGATTTAAGTTATGTTCTGTCATAATTTAAATCGATATAAATATCCTTGTTAAAATTGAAATCTATTAAAATGTTTTTAAATATAGATGTTTAAATCGATGTTAAAATTATGTACTGTAAATGTGATTTGTACAAATTAATTGCAACCCTGTTTAAACGAACATACTTGATTTTCTCATAATTCTTTGTGATAGAACAGCAGTCCTAACTATTAAAATATTTTGCGAAGAAAATGTTTATTAATAATCGTAAATCTCTGTTTATCTACTCAATAAAATTGTAATATGACATTTGAGTACCCTTCCTACATGACGTTTCGTTTATTATTCCACTCATGAAGAACTTAAAATATGGATGATCCATGGAGAACTTAACAGTAATATTGAACTAAAATACATTTTCATGTAAAGCAAATTATATTTGACATTATTGTGTAGCTTGAAAACTGAGGTCGCCGAAATCCAAATTCAGTAGCAGAATATTAGTTTTGCTTAACTGACATTTGCAGAATAAGTGTTAATATGTGTTAAAAATCTCTGAAATTAGGTAATTTTACATTGAAAAAATAAAAGCGATTTTTAATAATCAGAATTGTTTTAATCGTGATTTTAAAAATGCCGAATGAATTTTCAATATTTAATTGCAAATACAGCGAAACCAAGAAGAGGAAAATAAATGTTTATTCTAAACTTCTCAGTTTTACAGCATATCTTATAGTGATACGGGCATTTTTAGCAATATAAAAATTTCAAAAGACAATCCTTTTTAATCGTAATTACAGGTAAATTTTAATTGCAAATGTATGTACATGTTGCAATAAACTATGGCTAGGACACTTACAAGAAAATATTTATATTGCATAATCAAATCAGATATTTTCTAATTTTTGAAACGACTTTACACTTTCTAGTGTCATGATTTTATCAGATGAACATGATTATCAATAGTTATACTTAATGAAAGAAATTTGATACGCATTTAATTTGCGGAATATCCTTTAAAGAAATTTAATTTAATCTAAAATACATAAATATTATACAATGAACTGAACGAATAATATGACAGAACTCTTGCATTCACCTTTTAACTTCTTTCTCGGACCTATTACATTCATGTTCATTTAATACAAGTTACAAATATATTTATAGATCATCTGTTTTCTTATGCTGGTTTGATCTAAAATGGTAAAGTTATGTCCAGAGGTCCTGGAAATGGTAGTTTTTTGTATCTTTTAGCTGGAACCCATTGATAGGCCTTTTCAGACTTTGTGTCTCTTTCATATTCCAGGCATTTTAGTTTCAAAAACCTACAAAGAATGCATTAAAATACAAATAATTTACTTTTATTTCATTAAACTGCAACATTACCTGAAAATCAAAAGTTTATGAATTATATACGTCATTTCAGAAACAAGCATTTATATAGTAATGAAAAATATTCTGCTATTAAAATTTCTTGTAATTAGCATGTTTACTTTTATACAGTTTTTATTCATTTAGTAGGAAACCGAAGACTTACTAAACTAAATTCCAAATGAGATTGAAAGGCGTCTTATCGTGCTTTTCAAAAACATATTTAAAAGGTGGCTTAAACAAATCTTTCCATTAAAGCGTAAACTGAACAGCTGCGCAGTTCCTGGTTTCAAAATCAATTTCCTATGCTTTACAATGTTTAAGCTAATATAAAAGTATCAGACTAACATTTAAATATTTAAAGTATGATTTCTTTTTATCTGGTTTGTGAGATGGTTCTGGATTTTTGTGATAAATTCTTAACTCTTTCGAACCATTGCCCTTTTCAGTGAACTTATCTCATAGATAATGAAGAACTCTCTGAAGATTCTGAAGACAATTCTGCTGTATCAAAAACCTCAGGAAATTTCAAAAATTGAAGATTTTTCCAAGTAACCGAACAGAGGAAGAGCTTAAGACTAACGTACATTAGCTTGCATAAGACTTGGAGATGTGAAAATCCGGAAAGACAGCAGAAATGACTTCCATGCAAACTGGGCTTACATTATAGAAAATATAGAGAATAAAGAAAATAATATTACTGACCCGGAGACTCAAAACAAATTGAAGTAAGAAATTTAGACCAACGGTTAAAAAAAATCTGGAAATTCCCAAAGAAAGTGGCAAAACTTCCTGCAGAGATAATCGAAATTCAGTTCTACTACGAAAAATATTTCCGTCTAAGTGATGTGCCGAGAGGAAAGAAAGCAAATGATGAATTAGATGTGTAGAGACATTAGGATATTTTTTTGGAAAGCAGGAGAAGTGAAAAATAAGCAACGCCTTCGCCGGGAATCGAGCCGCGGACCTCTGTAATACGCGCACAGCGTGCAAACCACCTCACCACGAAGGCATGCCAAGAAGGCGGGAGAAATACTTTATAAATGTAATGAAAGAGTCTTTTTCCCCATCATCCAGGTAAACCAAATTTCGAATAAAAATGGAGATTCTACTAAACTACTACGATATATTTACTTGAATTTGTGAAAAATGAAGCCGGAAAGCCATCTATAACGTGAATAACATTCTAGGCACTAATGCAGGGATAGAAGAATTCAAGCCGAAGAAAACGTTGACCAATCCAATGCTGCAAATGGTGCTTAGCCACACGCAGCATCCGCGCTTCAATGGTACCAGATTTGTGAAATGTGCTACCACGTGCTTAATGCCTCTAAAGAAAGGGAAAAAATTCTACTTGTCTTTACTACCGAGGACACTATATACAGAACGTCCAGAATACATCAAGAAATTTCCAAAATTTCGAAAACAGGAAAAACAAACAGAAAAAGTTTACTGGAATGAGAAATGAAAATTTTCCCTTGCTGAACAGGTTACAGCCGAAAACATCGCGGCAAAAACATCGCGGACGAAAACGTCGCGGAGAAAACAACGCAAGGCAAAAACGTCGTGCTACAAAACATCGCGGGAGAAAACATCGCAACGAGAAAACATCGCAGTTCTAAAACATCGTGGTACAAAACATCGTCGTCGAAAATAAAGCGGTTCAAAAACTTCGCAGTTTAAAAACATCGTCGTCGAAAATATCGTGGTAAAAAATAAAGTATCTACAAAGCATCGCATGACGATAACATCGCAGACATGCTTCTTTCAGGCTTTAATAACTGTAAATGGATATTCCCATATTGATTTGTGATCGCAAGATGGAAAGAAGGATACTTTTTACTTTCATACTTTCATATTTTTATTAACTAATAAATTTTTGCTGAGAAATAAGAATGAAACTTAAGCATAGAAAATTAATGCAACTTATAGCACTCAATAGAATTTTAAAAACCGACATAGTTAACTAACAAAGGCCATTAATAAATCATTTTTATAATGTTTTTACTGGTAATTTTTCATGAAAAGTATAATCTATAATTTGCATTTAATTTTTTATGCTTAAGTTTCCTTCTTACGTTTTCAGCAAACATTTATTGGTTAATAAAATATGTGAAAATAAAAATTATCCTTCTTTACATACTGCGCTCACAAATCATGGGAATATCCATTTACAATAATTAAAACCTGAAAAAAGCATGTCTGCGAAGTTATAGTCATGCGATGATTTGTAGGTACTTTATTTTTTACCACGATATTTTCGATGACGATGTTTTTAAACTGCGAAGTTTTTGAACCGCTTTATTTTCGACGACGATGTTTTGTACCACGATGTTTTAGAACTGCGATGTTTTCTCCCACGATGTTTTGTAGCACGACGTTTTCGCCTTGCGTTGTTTTCTCCGCGACGTTTTCGTCCACGATGTTTTTGCCGCGATGTTATCGGCGGACACCGCTGAACAAGAATTCTGAAGAAAAACTTCCAACCAGATACACCCGAAGGAAATATAGTTACATCAGTGGCGTAGCTAGGGTGGGGCAAGGGGGGACATCTGTCCCCGGGCGCGAGCAGCATTCAGAGGGCACCAAATTTGATGCTGTGAAATTTTAATGAAATGTTTTCCGTTCTTGGCACAAAGAAAGGGGCGCAAAATCTTCAGTTAAAAACCCTAGCTACGCCTCTGAGTAGATGTTCGGAAAACGGTACGTCAAAAGTAACACAAGCTATTAAAACATAGCCAATCATGAATTTTACCATTATTATGAAAGAAATCATCTTCCTGTTAGAAGGGCTAAAAAAATCAAGTTACCGGCGGATATTCTGAACTTATTTTTAAAAGCAGCAGATATACTCATAAATTTGTTAAGAGGAGAGAGAATAAGCGCTGATGACTACATCACTATCTGAACAGCAGCGAAAATGGCACCGGAAAGAATAACCTTCATTACCATTTTTTTTTCCTTTCGTCGGCAAGCATGTACGCTTAAAATCTAATTAATTACCAACGCCATTAAGTAATATCCCGCAATATTGTTTAAAGTTCAATCAGCTAAATGCCAATTGTACATACATTTGAGTTTAAAGCTTGAAATTCAGAAGGAAAATTTCTATTACGCTTCAGTTCAGGATTTTAAATGCGGAAAAAACCTGGTTGGCAAAAGTTTAAAATCAAATTAAGTAATTCAACAGCTGAGTATGAAATATCCACGAAGGTCTACGTCGCTACCCAAAAGCTCTAACTTCAAGGTATTTTTCTTATACACTGTACTCGCTAACTAATTTTCCTACTAGTGGGAGCTGAGCAAAACGAAAATTAACAACGCAGATAAAATTATGAGTTCATTACTATAATTCTCAAAACTTTTATAATTTATTTTCTTTGAATATTTTAGTTTTATCTTTGCGTTTTATTGCATAGTGGTTTTAGTTGAATTTGCACCTTACGGTATATTTAGCTACTTTTTACGCATTAATATTTATTATTTTAACATAACTCTATACTTATTTGCTTTGAATGGTTGTATAAATTTTCAGTTTACTGATACTAGTTTTTTATATTTCCGTATCTTTAACTGGTATATGATTTATAATTTGATATATCTAGGCTGAGAATTTTCTAAATCAACGATCCTTAGGCGGTGGTACGCTTATCACTGATGGTACGGAAGAGAAAAATAGGTGGTACGCTCATAGACTTTAGTAAAATAATTCTTTTTTATTTTCACAAATATTCTTTTATCCGTAGACATAATATAATTTTTCACCAATGATGTTTTTAAAAGGATTGATAGAAATGAATGTTGCATTAAATAGGAAAAAGTAAGTTCCTATAAAAAATAATAATATCTCATTAATTCGTTTAGAGTTGATCTATTTATTAGCACGTCTACATTTTATGTCGCCACCATTTCCGAACAATTTTCAATTCGAATCATTTTGTTATCCCCATTTGCTGTCTCTAACAGCAGGTATTTTATCTTCTTGTTGCTTTGTATTCTTTATCTTCGTGCATGATTTGAGAATATCGTCTTTTATTTTTGAAGAAGTAGTAATATATTGTGCATTTAAATATTTGTGAAAAAATAATAAAACAAATCTAGATTTTTCAAAATGGAAAATTGGCTAGGATTGACTATGCGGAAAAGTGATGATTCACAGGTTAATGGATCCAGAACAAGCTACTAGCACTAAGAATATCGAAAAGAAAAGAAACATTGTTTCTAGAAAATAAGTATAATGAAAGTTATTTATCATTTGGGTTTACTTGAGAATGGAGATGAAATGGACCTTTAAACTCAATGTGTTGTTTGCGTGAACTGCTTTCCAGTCAAAGTAGGAAATCATCGTTTCTTAAAAAGCATCTTGAACAATCAGCATGACAATTTAAAGAATAAATCTGAAAAATATTTTAAGAGGAAATTATCGGAGTTCAAAAATGGAAAACTATGTAATGAAAAGTTTGGTTACTTCAAGTGGAAAAGCTTTGAAAGCTAGTTACTTAATAAGGCTAAGAATTATCAAGACTGGGCAGGATCACACCATTAGAGATAAAAAAACCTTACATTACAAGCAGCTAAAGATATCATTTTAAGATTATTCAATGAAAAAGCGGCTAATGAACTAAATAATATTCCGTTATCAAATGATGCAGTAAGGCGATAGATTCATGAAATCGCAAATTCCATAAAAGAAACACTTATTACAAAATAAAACACAGTGAGTATTTCGCATTGCAATTGAATGAAAGTACTGATATTACGAACTTGGTTCAATTAATAGTTTACATACATTTTGAAGAAGATAAACGAATTGCCCAAGATTATTTCTTTTGTGAATCTCTTCATGACAGAACAACTGCAAATATTTTTTCAAAGTAAACCACCATTTTTTGCCTGAGAATGATATTCTCGGGATTAGGCTAGGTTATTTAATTACGGCAAAGCTTCGAGGGCTATCTGCCTAAGGGGAGGGATGCCTTCGTGGAGGACTTTCTAAGAGAAACTGGCTCGTATACACGTTACACATGTGGAAAACGCCCATGCAGCCAGCCCGTTCGCGGGATTCGAACCTCCTTCTCTGGTTAGGTGTGTTGCTGTGTGCAGTGACGAAGCTCGGGGTTTTAAGAGGCCTTTAGATTCGGGCGTTATTTGTCAAATAAAGAAAGTAGGGCCTGAAACTATAGTATTCAAAACAATATGCGAAGACCTAAAAATCGTTTTGAATCAATCTGTGGAAAATGTTAATTTTATTAAACGCCGAGCTTTAAAAGCAAGAATAATTACAATTTTATGCCATAAGATGGGCAGTAAACACGAAACGCTTTTGCTATGTTCCGTAGGTGGTTATAAAGAGGCAAAGTTTTAAATCCTCATTTTGAACTTGGATCAGAAATTTAAATTTTCCACTGTGATTTAAAACTGAAGAGTTAGTCTAGCCCAATTGCAGTCTCTAGAATTTAGTATTTGCTGCGTGAGCGATTTTGTCATTCTCTTGCTTATTTATAACTCTGAATTTGTGAACTGACAACCACCAACAAAACTAAATTTTTAGGATCGTATCTACAATGTTATTTCGTGCGCTAAATTAAAACAGAATATTTCCTCCTTATAACTGAAGTACTTTTAACTATTTCCTTTTATTTCAAATTTACAAAAAAATTCTTGGTATATAAAGGCGTTTTGTTTTTCAGCTAAACTATTCATTCTAGAGACTTTATAAAACTTTTACATGCGACAATATATGTACCGTGAAAAGCAACCAGTGATAATTTCAGACGAGGTGATCCTCAGTGCAAGGGTTCGACTCAAGACGGAGGATTTTAAAATACTGAATTTATTTATGTTCTATGAGCTATTAGGTGGTCGTGTAGGATAAGTGGTTCCCATTCAAAGTTACAATACGCATACCTTCTTTCTTTTAAATAATTTACAATTTTTGCAGGCATCAAAAGAGGAGAAAAAGAAAAGAAGAGATGTAACAAAATGATTTACACAAACAAGCTGTAAAGACATTAGGATTTTTTGGAAGCAGGCAAGATGAAAAATGAGCAATCGCCTTCGCCTGGAATCGAACCACGGACCTCTGGAATACCGGTCCAGCGTGCAAAACCACTATACCACAAAGGCACGTTAGGAAGGCGGGAAAAATACCTTATATACTCCTCCTTTTTAGGGCGACTGGGGTTTTAGGAAATCAGTCGCCAAATCCTGGGCGATGAGAATCATCATCCAACACCCTTTTAGTTCGGCTGCCACTGTAGAGACATTAGGTAATTTTTGGGATCAGGCAAGATGAAAAATAAACAGTCGCCTCCGACGGGAATCGAACCACATCTCTCTGGAATACCGGCGCAGCGTGTAGAATCACTACACCACGAAGGCACGCTAGGAAGGCGAGAGAAATACCTTATAAGGTAAGATATTTTAAAAATTGTTGCTGAATTATAATTCTGTTGGAACTGTAACGAAATAGCTATCAGGGATAATTGTATACCTTTTCGCGTATTTTGTAATTATTTTTGCTTTCAAACTCTTCATTTCGTTACTATAGTCAAAACAAGGTTATTTTTCTTTTTAGTATTAGTAAGTTACATTTTTGTTAGTCTTGAAATCTCGAAAATTTCATTTGATGCTATGGAAAGAAGAGATAAGCATGATTACAGGATATTTAATTGATTTGCAGTTTCCAGTAATACTTACGTCTTGTATTTCTTGCACTTTTTACTGAACGGATAATTATACTCGTAACACTGCCTCTTGAGTATATTGAAGTATTTTAAACCTACTGTATTGGAAATTACGCTATTGACACGCTTCAGGCACTTGTAGAAATCATCATCACACTTGCAGCTTAACCTGAAATAATAACTGTATTAGAAGAAAAGAAGAATCTAAAGACAGACAGAAAGTTACCTGAAAAAAAGAGAAATTTAGATTTTAATAACATTTGTAGAATGTCAAATATTGAACAATGCATATTACAACCTATAAAATTTCTAGGATTCTTCCACTTAATATTAAAATAATGTTTTTAAGTTTCTGAAAGCTTTTCTATTTCACTTCTTTCTAGTTAACTTCAGATTTTTTGTCAAACCTTTAGAATTTCGGAAATTTTGTCACATAGTATCATTGTGTGAAAGATCGCTTAAAGGAAAATTTTATATAAATTTCATAATAAATAAATAGGAATTGAAAATATACATACTTAACAAAATCGAAATTACCTTAGAAGTATTCTCTGTTATTATATAATGAATAAATTCTCAGTATATTTATTTGTTTTCTTCGTACTGTGGAAAAAACGGCAGCACTAGAACCACTAGATTTTCAACCCATATAGTCCTCCAACTCGAATATGTGGCTCTCAAATGTCGAATTTTTAATTTTATTTTTTTATAGTATTTTCTTATTATTACGGCCCCTTTCTGTAAACAGTGCCATGATTATCGATGAATCGAATCGATAACCCAGACTATCATGGAATGCAGGTCTTAATAACCTTATTAATTGTTTGCTTGTAAGAAAAAGAACTCCGAGCAAACCACGTGATTTCGTATTTTCATACAGATGTTAATATCTGAGTTAAAAAATAACACGCCGAATAACGATTATTGGAGGCGTTAAGGTAAGAAGAAGCAACGTAATATTCGTAAATTTACAGGGCTAGACTCGAAGATTTAAATATAGAACAGGCTTCTTCAGCTGCTAGAGGTGCAAATAATGAAAGAGAAGCTTGTGCTTAGGCAATAACAGTGAGAGGAAGGGATTCAAGCTACTGGCGCCATCTAATAGTAAAAACGGAAAACAACTATGAAATAATTACCTTAAAAGCTGAGAAGAAAGTGGGATTGGAATAAGGATCGTGAACTAGAATAGAAAGATTTTTATGAATGTGAAACGCCTCTAGAAAACCTAATTCGCCAACGGAAGATGCTTTTTCAATAATTTCGGCTGCAAAAAATTTATTTTTTGATCAACAAAGTTGGCAACAATGGATTTATGTGTTTCTTTTTTCCTAGCATATGTTTCACGTTCCTTGGCGCGAAAGTTTTATCTGTCTTAGTTTGACCAACGTAAATTATACCACAGTGGTGAAAGATCATGTGTACACAACAGTAGCTGATATCTGGAATGTGGTTTTAAGCATGGAATTGGGAATTTTACTGATAGAAGACAAAATTCCCTGAAAGTTGAGTTTCTGTAAAATGCGAGGAATTTAATCGATGAATAGAAAGCAACGACAAAAGAATTCTTAGAATATTCTAAAATGAGAAAAAGTTTTGACGCGTTCAGATTGATCAATAATTTTAAGTGAGAAGTCTTTGTCAACAGCAACCACTTTTAAGTAGTTTAGTTCTTGATCAAGAGCCGATCTGGATGAGCAAACTTGATGTGCTCGGAAAACGAAGGAATAAAATGAAGCTAACTTATGTTTAAGCGAATGGCATGATTTGAAATGTGGTAGAAGGTAGACAGATGAAGATTTGCTGTATACAGTAGTACTGAAGTTGGATATGTAGCGTGTGACCACTATGTCGAGGAACGGAAAGGAACTGGATGTCTCAAGCTCAAAAGTGAATTGAATAGCAGCATCGATAGAATTCATTTTTGAAAGAACTTTATTTAAAACATCTTTACTACCATCAAGCAGACGAAAGCTATCTTCAACATAGCGGAACCATACAGAGAAGTTTAAAGTTTCAAATAATTTGGCTTCATAATTATGCATTAATTATGCATTTAGATATTAGCAAGGATAAGTCTAAGAGGGCATCCGTTAGCTAACTCTTCAGTCTGGTTTTAATAACTATTTTGAAAACCAAAATATGTATAATTTATAAATAAATTAAATGACATACACTTTGTAAAAATTATAAATAAATAACCTTCACACATTATACATAAATAAAATTTATTGGTAAATTAAAAATTATTTCTCTGGGAAATTTCTTTATGATTTCTTTTGATGTAAAAATTATTCACCAGTGTCCAGTGGACGATACGCTTAAATGTCTAAAAATCAGACTTCAGGAATTTCATTTCTCACGTATCGAAATTGACAAGTTAATTTCCCTTACTCAGTTTTGTCTGAAACAAACAAAATTTTTTCAGAAACAACGGCTCATATACAAGATTTTGAAAGCAGTTGCGGAATATGCTAGCTACAAAATGTATATGAGGTAAACTGAACTTGTCGATCATTCTGACACCAACTTGGAGTTCACAAAAAGGGGCAATTATTAATAAAAACGTACCTTTGATTTTTTTTATTCGTTATATATCTTGTTATATATCTTGTGTTAACATCGCTTTAAGCTCCTTTCCTAATTTTTTTCGTGGTTTTTTGAGAACATTTTACCACGTTTCGTTGCCAAAGTAGAAAGAAAAAAATATTATATATAATGATTGCGACAGAACGATCACTATTTTTCAACAAAACAACAGCAAAATAAAAGGAAGCGATTGATATTTCAACTATTAGCAGTACTAGAAACATCTACTAAAAATAACAATATCATAAGCAAAAAATATACAAATAATAATTGGGAAGGTCTGAAAGAAAGAAATAAACTGATCCTTATTTCAGAATCCGCGTTTCATTGTTCCGTATTTTAAGATATTTTCGTGCACTGGAAATTAGAATGCTATAAAACATTTTCCTTCATTACAGACCTTTTCTAAGCATCATTAAAAGTAGTTAGCTTATGAAAGAAATTGTACTACGAGTTGTTGTTTAATTTTTTGTAGCATCTAAAACCTAACAACATTGCAATGAAAGATTGACTAAATGAATGGAATAAAAGAAGCATTATTTTTCTATTATATTTAAAACTGTTAAATTTCTTACGAAATTATACTAGTTGGACACTTCAAAATATTCTCTGTGTCTAGTAAAATTGTGACATACTTTTCTTTCTTGCAATAACTACACTAGTGTACAAAAGCAAAAAATTTATTTTTCAACATACAACCATGAAAGCATTTAAAAAGGCTTTTACGATCAGTACAAAGAAAAGCCGACTCATCAGAATGGAGATGTGTGTGCGAATAGATATCAGCAATATAACTTCAGAAGGTACGTCAGGGCACGCAAAACGCGAGGAGTCGGCGAGTGCAGTGTAAGGCAAATTAAAAAGAAGGAAGGCGCATTTCCAGATATTCTTCTGCAAGTGAATATGAGGTCATATGTGCAGTATGGCTACAAGAAAACATCAGGACGCCTTTTACAAGTGGTAGAATGATTGGCAAGAAGGGGTGTAGTGCAAAGCCTGCTGTCCAATTTGGAACTGATGAAAGTGCTGTTTCACGAATTTGGAAAGCATTCCAAAGGATTGGTACATTTGTACAAAGGTCGGCAAAGGACACCGACTGACTGATAACCTATACATTCTCCTGCAGGCAAAAGGAGATCGAAGCCAGACAGCCGACAACATTGATCAGTAGAAAAGCACGGCAACCGGATGACAGATGTCCCGCTTTATTGTGGACAGGAGATTTCATAAATGTTGGCATACTTAATCGCTCGTCTGTACCGAAAGAAAAAAAAAGCTGCCTCTTTTTTCTCTTTAAGCTTAATAAAGGGTTTATTAAAATTAATAAAGGGTTTATTAAGCTTAAAGAGAAAGATTAGGGATAATCAAATGTGTTTTTCTTACGCTGTAAAAGGTGATTTATTAGTTAAACCGTTCCTTGTCTCTCCTGGTGCCAATGTGTCATTGCAGAGATCATGAGCCCTACAACATCTGTCAGTGTCTTGATGGATGCCTAGATCATTGTAATCCTTTGCTATATCTCCCGCTCCACACCACTTCGTACCTAAAACAAACATAAATTCGAACACTTCAAAGCAGTATAAGCAGTAAAAATATTGAAATGACAAGCAAACAATACATTTCTAGAAATAATTTATAAACAAATGTTTAGTGAAATACCAATCTTTTTCAAAATGAAATTTAAATATCCAATACAATTGATTGCTAGATGTAACATAAGTTCATTTATATGTAAGAAGATATTATGTTTTCACAGCAAGAGGCTGATGTAAGCACATCAAGTTGAAAAAAACAAATGCAGTGATAAAATTTCAATTTTAAATGTTTGAAACAGTAGTTGTTTCAGTAAAGACACCGAATGAATGTATTAGATGTGCAACGTAAAATAAATTATCTATAACATTCTTTAATTTTTAGCCCAAAGGGGCCATTTGTCCAGAAGGACTATAAATTTCGTTCTGGCATTTTTTGATGATTCACGATAAATGTCAGTTCCCTTTTCAGCTTGTTGCCACCAAATATTAGAGCATTGCATTATATTTAAAGAAATTAAATAATAAAGAATCTGCACAAATGCACGTATGTTTGTCGCATTGTGATAAAACAACGGTACCTAGAGGCATCAAATTTGAATAGCGTACGTTTCAATCTGAATATAGGCATCTGGAAGTCCAAATTTGAAACTTATAATTTGTTTTATTGCCTATTTCATATTTTGTAAAACTTTAACGAATTTTTGATTAACAAACTCAACGATTTAAAAGTGAACAATGACAACACTGTACGAAAAAAAAAATTATCTCCAGTGCGCGAGACTATGTATCGGAACTTCTAAACATATGCTCATTTAAGAATTATTTCGCAATATAGCTGTTATTTTGCGATATTGCTGAATTTTATGCGAAGAATATGATATTTAATAAATAAAAGTAACCCAGAAAACGTTAAAAAAAGCCCTTTTGGGCGTAAAGTAAAATCTAAATGCTTTCAGAATTTATTTATTATTTTGTTTTTATTTTGCTCTTTCACCCTTAAAATACTTATTTACATTCTAAATTTTCATTTTTCATAATCTGCTGCTCTTTAGGAACACAGTCTTTTAAGTTTTATTGTTTACTTTACAATATTATTCTTGTGAATATGATGCTACAAATTACTACTTCTCAGTAAAAGTTTCCTAATTATCTTTTATATGAATAATGTAATAGTATAAAATATTCATAGATAAAGAATAACACCTGTGTAGTCTGTCATTACCCTTTTTACTCAATCTTCATTAAACGTAACTTCCGTTCAATAGGTTACTTAAATATGTGGGAAAAAGGAAGGTAATTTTACTGAAACATCATAAATGAAGATTTCATTTTTTAAAACTCGTAACGGACTCTGAAAGTTCATTCACACTTGTATCTTGACTTTTAAGCTCTAATTCTGATCAATACCAATGCCAAAGATAAGTCAAATACCAATGCCAAAGATAAGTCAAATACCAATGCAAAAGATAAGCCGTACTTGATTTGGATTTTAGAAAATAATTAAGAAACGTTGCTCGTTTGAGGTTTATCCAATAATGAAGGAAAATATTTTTTTTTCCGAATTCCATATTCTTTTTAACATTTAACTTTTACTGAATCTTTTCAAATTATTTTATAGAATAAGATCTGACATTTTAAATGAAGGCCTTTCAAATTAACTGCTTGAAATTAATAAACATAAAAGGTGACTTTGATTTGAAAGCATGTAGAGTCATTAGGTTAATTGGAAGCAGAAAAGATGAAAAATATGCAACCGCCTTCGCCGGGAATCGAACCACGGACCTCTGGAATACCGGCCCAGCTTGCTACCGTTACACCACGAAGGCGCGCTATGGAAGTGGGAGAAATACCTTATATACTGCCCTTTTTAAAGGGCGACTAGGGTTTTAGGGGACCTAGTCGCCAAATCCTGGGTGCGGAGAATCATCATCCACAACCCTTTTAGTTCGGGCGCCACTTGTAAAGTCATTAGAATTCTTTTGGAAGCAGAAAAGATGAAAAATACGCAACCGCCTTCGCCGGGAATCGAACCACGGACCTCTTAAATACCGTCCCAGCGTGCTACCGTTACACCACAAAGGCACGCTAGGGAAGTGAGAGAAATACCTTCTAAGCATTTATCAATTTTGTGATTTTTGTTAATTAAACCTTTACTTTTTTTAATAGAAAAAATTGTGAAGCATAGTTAAATATGTTATCTACAATGGTTTTCCTGAAACTGTTAAAAATTTTACATTTTGTTTTCAAATGGAAATCTAACTAAACCTGAGCTGTATCTAAATTATCTGCTTGTCTCCTCAATATGCAAGAAAAGGGAAGTACTTTGCTGAGAATTTGATATCAGCTGTTAATTTTGAAATACCAGGTTTGATGATATCTTTCAAAATATTTTTCTGTACAAAAACTTAATAGATTGAATATATCCTTTTAAAATTTTTGTATATGTAATCTCAGACATAACTTTACATAGAATACAAACAAGCGTTTTAAACTTTTTCTGAATTGTTGTTTCGTATTTTCGTTATGTGCTTGGAGAACAAGAATGAGAAGAAGAACAGCAATGACTAAAAACAAAATGCAGGCATGGATGGATTTAGATATTTCTTTCGCATTAGTTTCTCTCAAGATTATTACGAAATAGTCGAACATGTACTGAGAAAGGAGAATGATAAAGAAGAGGAAGAAAGGTGATTTTCAAATTGATATGCAGAGCAAAAATATTAAGGTGAAGGAAGCTGAGGAAAGGCTGCAGACTTGTATAAGATTTGGATGCACTGTTCCTCTGTGTCATACACACTGTATTACAGCAGTGTATGTTAGGTAACTTCATTGCAAGCACAAGGATTTTTTTAAATTTCTGCAATACTCTTGTAACTAGGCAGACGTTTGAAGTTATATGTCACTAAGAAATTCTTAAGTTTGCTGTGATAATATTTTATATAAAGAAATTTTAAAATGTTGTTTAATTTTATTTTTGTGAAACATAAAATCAAATGTATAATTTCGAATCTTAAATATAATCCATATGATTTTCGGTATTATTTATTGAACTATGGGCGATAATTTGAAAAACACGACTAACGTTTTTCAAAACGTTTGGCATCACAAAATATGAGTAGATAGTACATGAAATACATATTCAGTTATTCGTAAAAAAACTCGTAACCGGTTTCAGAGTGGCCGCGTCATTGCTGTTTAAGAGAAATTCTGTTTACTTTTGCTACTTCGTAAAACTATACATGTAGAATCAATTAAATACGTATCGGAGCAGAAATAGGAAAAATCAGTCCCGCCCTCGTCTAGATTCGAACTCCGTATCGCAAGACTGCTAGCCGCACGTGCTTCCATTTACACCCCAAAAGCACTCGGCAGGTAGAAGAAAATGCCTTACAAACAAACAAAACATACCTATGCTACTTCTATTCTCACAAAACAAAATTATTAATTTTGACTAGTTGTTAGTCGATATGACTTTTAACAGTTGATGTGTAGAGACATTAAGTTATTTGGAAGCAGAAGACATCAAAAATGAGCAATGCCCTCGCCGGGACTCAAAACACGGACCTCTCGAATACGCTTCGAGCGTGCTGACCAAACACCATGAAGGCATGCTAAGAAGGTGGGAGAAATACCTGACATACACTCCTTTATCCTGGTGGTGAAGAATCATCATTCACAACCTTTTAGTTCGAGTGCCACTGTAAAGACATTAGATTATTTCGAAGCAGAAGACATAAATGAGCAATGCCCTCGCCGCTACACTACGAAGGCGGGAGAAATACCTTATAGATGAACGCAATTTTTTTAAGTTGGACATCGAAGTTAAGTGACTTATAAATAAGTGTAATTTACCTTTAACATAATGTTTAGAGTTCACATAATTCTACTAATTATCTGTGAAAAAGGACCATTATGATTATGATTTTGAAATATGTCTTTATACTTGTGTTCTGAAGTACGATTTCTGTTTATAAAGTAATACTTCCGTAAGGAGAGGGGTTTCAGAATGAAACCAATACTTTTGACTTCGAAGGATTACATATATGAAAACAACGAAACCATTCTTACAGACAGTACGCTCTGCAACTAGATGAAGCTTTCTGTGCTTCAAAGTTATTTGATGGCAGCAAATGAGAACTAAAATATTATTTACTTACTATTAATGGCAAATTTTTTACTACTGATGCCATCATAAAGTACTGAATAATATCAAAAGTACAGCTACTTTGGCATTCAGACTAATACCCTTCTTTTGTTACGGATAAGGGAAACAAGAAAACCTTCCCCCCACATATTTCCGGTTAGTGAAACTACGTATTTTATTTAGGTAATTTCTAAAATTTATACCAAAATTAATTAAATTCCTACAATAGATAAAGGGAAGTCTGCTTAATTCCAACCAGTCACAGTTTCATGTAATTATGATCTTTGGGTGTCGACATTTGAGAATGTAACCGTCTCCGATATATAGAAACAATATTTATTTATGTTCTTCGAAATGGCTATTCTAATGACCATTTCCGAGAATGCCTTAAATAATGGCCACTTTCAGATGCTATTATTTAAGGCAAATACTCGCCACGAAATATTTAGGTGTATTTATTAATAATGTGTTTCTTTAAATTGTCCTGTAAAATAATATTTGAAGAAATTAAGTACTTTTAATATAACAAGGACTAGTGATTAAAAGCTGCATACCTGGAAAGATGAGAGGTAGTGTTGCCTGTTCGTCTGCTTTAAATTGTGTTTCCTGAGAACTTTTTAATTTGGTAGGTGAAATATTAGATTTGATTTCGCAATCATCATCACCATATATGGCTCGTTTATCGTCTTGATCTAGAGATTCATGGGCATTGATGCTTCTTTCACTGGATTTCTCATTTTGTTTGGATATTTTTAAAATATTAAAATCTCTGCAATCTTCTATAAGGCTTTTCATTTGCTCTGAGCTTAATTTTCTAATCGCCTGGTTTCTAGACTTCTTTAGAATTTCTTGGATATGTTCTCTGAGTAAAAACATGAACTGTTACATACATGTATGAAATTTCACAAGAATTACAATTTTCGGATCTCACATTTCATACCAGAGTTGTATTTAATTACAATTGTTAAAATGGAATGATCAAAGCATGACTATTGTTTATCTAATAATCATAAGAACCAAACGTTTCATCAACAAGAACTACATAAGGCAGTAAGCTCTTGATTAATACAATTGGTCCCCAATCGTGTTAAAACAGCTATACATAGTATATATTTATTTACTTTCTGGAACTATTTCTTAACTAATTTCATATTATTATACAATAAAATTGTATGCAGATAGTTTTATAGGAAATACAATGAAGGTCTTAAAATCATTCGTTTTCCACTAATGCTTTGACAAGGTACTATGTGCCTTTAACTTAAAAATCTACTTTAAGTGTTTACTACTACTACATGTGCTTTAATATAAAACTCTGTCGCAAATCCTGCTTTTGCGTCTTTTGAATACATTTTTATTACTTTTGCATTAATATTTAGTTTATTATAATTTACTTTTATTCCCCTCTGAATTTTACTTCTATGAAGCGTCTCATTTGTTACACTCTAACCATGGTTTTGTTGCTTCACTTAGCTGTAGAATGAAGAAGCAAGTGATTCTCCATTTATCATCCAAGCGCATAATTGTTTTAAATTATAAAGCTTAATGAAAAATGATAGTTAAATTTAACTTGTTTACAGAACACGAAACTCATGACGAATGTTTTCAGAACATAAAGTAAAATGAGGACAAATTGTAAGAACTACAAAATTTCTGGAGTGTTAAGGGAAAGAATAAATGCAATGAAATTCTAACCTTTGTTTACGTTTTGTTTAAATTTCTCTGAACGAAAGAACCTGTAACTCTAAATACATGTATGTAAAACTGTTCTCGTCAAGTGTTATGATTTTCTTAATAAATAAAATTTACAGTTTTGACTTGTCTTGTTTGAAAAATTCACAAAGTTGTAAGAAAATTGTAAAAAATTGACAAACAACCGGTATATATTATATACCGGTGCCCTTCAAAGGGTTAAATGTTATACATCTTCTGAATACTGAATAGTAAAATTAAAGTAAGAAAACGTGGGTATTTTTACTGATTTTTTTGTTATTTTATGTTTCTTTAATATTTACTATCGATTGTTACATGTTACATCTTTAATGTTACATCTTTAATATTTACTATTGATTGTATAATAATAAATTTGAGTCAAAGTTGTTTCCAAACCAAAGCTAAACGAACATTATCTTAATATCAATTATATAGTTACTTTTAAGTAATTGTGAAGAAATGTTTAGTTTCAAAAACTAAATGCACAAATATTTTCATGATAAACTATATTTGCATAAATTAGTTCTAAACAAAGACTGGCTTATTTTAACTTTAAAATATTTTATATTCCAAACATTCAATGAAACTAAAAAAAGAAATAAAAATGTTTTCCTCTGAAGGCAGAATATTTTTGGCCGATTCACATATTTACTGTAAATTCTCTGGACCTGTTTTAAGAACCTAATTAGCTTAATAAAGCTTCTCTATCTTGTTTACCAAACTAACTAAAATTCACTTCTACGTTATAGATGATGTTTTATCCACTCGTATGCAGTACCATTTCTAGAAAACTTCAAGCATGTATTAAATGAAATATTGAATAAAGGAACTCAAAAGAAGACGCAATTTTCCTTAATAGAGAATGTTTCCCTCGTATAAAATAGTTTGTGAAACATTTTCGCATTAATATCTTTCTAACTTTGCTGATAGATTATTTGCAAATTAATAAATGTTAAATAGAATATCAGACGATAAGATGATATTATTTTGCTTCCCTGAGGCTTAATTAGTGCAATAATTTAGTTTAAACGATTTAGTTAAATGATGTTAAATGATTAATTAGTTAAATAGAATATCAGACGATAAGATGATATTATTTCAAATACTGATAGCATTTTCCTCAAAATATCCGTTATTTAGAACTTGAATGTCACAAAAATAGCACATTAATTTTATTTCTCTGCGAAACGTGAAAACAGTGACATTTTAAATCTCATATGCATTGTTTTCTTACTAAACTTCTCGGCACTTTGATTGCGAATTTCAATTAAAGACTTACTTTTCAGTAAATATTTCACAATTTGATAGTTCTGGCTCATCTTCTTCAGACCATGCGACCGCTAACAAAGTGTCTTCATCTTCTGCAGACGGCCTTTGAAGGAAGAAGTGTTTTATCCAAAACAGCATGTTGACAAGAAAATAACGTTGTTAGGAAGCAGACTAGCAATTGTCCAGCAAGAAGTCGCATAATGATTTTCAATGATTAATGACAGATAGTCAGCAGCACTGGAAGTTAAATTTCATTTAAAAAATATACATGAGAGTATGATTAAAAATCGAATTTAATGTACACAAGTATTGTAAAATTTTGTATTTTAACCCTTCAATGCATTACTTTTTATACTTTTACCTAACATTTTTATTCTTCATTGCCGTGGCTTAAATAAGTACGGAAAAATATTTGAAAAATTATTTAAAATTTTTTATTGGTTATTTTTGAATTTTTAGGTTTGATGAATAGATCCATCGTCATGCATTTCGCACTAGAATGTAAACCACATGAAAAAAATTATTTAGAATAATATAACTAATAAATATTGGCATAAAATACTTAATTATTTATTGTTTTCAGAAGATACTGACTTTAATTAAAATTTTATTGAAACTTTATTCTTATTAATTATCCTATGTTCAGACTTCATAAAATTTAACCTTGTGATGAAATTTAAATAGAAATTACATATCAAATGTTTTGTACATGTACATTTATTGTGCAATTTACGTTGTATGGAAAATTTTGAAACAATTTCTATTTTTCTTTGGACATAACGCTACAGCACATTTTTCACCTCCAATCCATCACATTTTTGGAATTTGCAGTTTGGCATTTTACAACGAGTGCGATTTTGTTTCATATGGAAACATGTTTGGAGGAATGTTTGATACAGGGCCACTATGTCGTTTCACATTGTAATTATTTTGTAAAAGACAGCTCGATCTTCCACGCTTAGGAACTCTTTCACCCATTTTGCACAGTCCAACAGATAGCTCAACCCGAAAGGCGGCCAGGTTTAGCAAATCCTTGGGATTGGCTCCATTCTGTAGAGATGGATCACTACCATCATCTCTTTCTAGAAGTTCAAAATCATATTTACTGCCATATGGCACGTTGTCCCATATTTCTCTTATTTCTTCATCATTCAAATATTTTTTCCTCGCTCATCTACCAAGCTCACTCATATTAAAAAAAATTAGCTTAATTTCAAAATGAAACTCTATTATACAAGCTATTAGCAAGATTAAACTAGAAAATTCAAGTTTAAATTTAACTATCATTTAAGCAGATTAACTGGTTGTTTTTATTTTTACTCTATATTTTGAGATAACTGTTAACTACACCCATTTTTTCCAAGCCTTCCTGTAAGAAATTTGACTCCCGTAAAACTGACCTGGATAGTAAATTTCAAAATTTGCAAGTTTCTATATCATTTTCAACTTGCCATGAGGGATCAGCTAATTAAGTTAGAGTAAGTTGATGAAATAAGTTTAAATGAAGTGCAGCAAAATATGTGTATAATTTAATGGGTCGTACAAAGACGTCACTCAGTGTCTACATCAGATTTTTATCCACAACTGTTGCTGCCTTTGGAATTTGGAGGTGAAACATTCAATAATAATACATAAATACTTCAGCATTACACTTTTTTCACTATATTTAATACCTTGGTAGTCTGAATAAAACCTTTACTTACACCTTTCTGTTTTCAGGTCAGTAGTGCGCGCCATCATAATCCTTGAGAAGTCTGAAAATTTTAATTATTGAAGTATAATTATTAACACAGAGCCAGTTTGCTTTTCGATAATCAAACACTTGGTAGTGACATTTTTTAAAGACATCCCATATACCTTGTTACCTTGTTAGCTTTATTTCAGGCAAATGTTCCGTCAAAGTTAATTTTTCAATATCTATTATTTTTTTTAGTTGAGTTTATGATAGGAAAAGTAAAATTCCTAGAGATATTTGGAGCAGTTGCCACATTTCATAACATCTTCAGAAACTGTTTTGGGAGATCCAGTTTTATGTTAATTGGAGGCAAAACAATTTCTGTGTGGCCAGAATCTGTTGTTTACAATTTTCATGAAAATAGACTGAATGATCAGAGCGTGCAATTGCATTCCTATTATACAAGATAACTACTAAAATTATTTTTAAAAGAATTAGTAAAATTAAACTTGTTTAAAATCTATCAATTTGCAATAAGATGACTATAATGTTTGTCTGATGAAAAGGTTGGGGAGAGGAGAAGAAAAAAGATAAAAATCACATGAAAGATTTTATTATCTTCAAACGCCTATAAAAGCGATCTTATACGATTTGGAAAAACGGTTTGGTTCGGATAATTCGTATAAAAGTTACGCATTTTTTTAAATATAATTGGTTTGTTTATTATAAATAAATATATCTGGATTTTGTTTTACCAATGAATTTTCTCGACGCGTCATGTTGTTGCTCCTTACGCCGTTGAGTTAAGAATAAATTCTTACAGAACTGTTTAAGCACCCTATTTTAAAATATTTTATAATTAATTAAATAGCATGTTTTAATAACAATGAGCAAATATTAACATACCTCGTGCGTGATTGAAAATCAAATTTCTCAAATATATGTTCGTGATTAAAAATTTTAAAGAGATTTTAATTTCTCTATCCACAGTAACTTCAATTATAGTGGATATTATTTCTATATCAAAGATAATTATTACAAGAAACATAAAGACTCCTCCTAAATGGGACTCTGTTTGCTGTATTTTGTGGCTTTACAAAACTATACGTTCTTATTCTCATAATCTAAAGAGAGACTACAGTTTTATTTGAAAATACTGATGGAAAACTATGACAAGTCAAGAACAAAATATAGAAGTTTTAAAGGAGGTACTAAGCATAATTTATGAAACATGGAAAATGAATTGAATTTCATTGGGAACAAACATAACAGCATATTCCATATCTTTTAGTTAGCAGCTAGCAAAAATGCTTCCTTTCCAAGAATTGTGATAACAGTTGCTAAATTAAATTTATTGACACAAATGTAATTCCAAATGAGATGAAGTAACTGAATCATGGTAATATGCTTTAATTGTTTCATAATTTTTGACTAAATGATGAAGTTAACATCTTTTCATACATTAATTTAAAATTTGTAGTTTTGACTTTTAATAATGAAACAAAATATTACATTATATTAGAAGTCAAAATCCAATTGCATTTATACATAATTTTATAAATTTCGCTGAAATCTTATGATAACAGAAATAGCTTAAAAAACTCACCTGGTTGGTTTAATGTAGAATTTTCTTTAGTCTAACACTCACAGTTTGAAATAAGCATATTTATCTCTAGAACAAATATTTACAAACTCATATTTATCAGTAGCCTTTAATTTTTATCTCATCAGCTTTATAAAATTCAAGAACATCTGTTTTTACTCATATTATCTATGACGAATAAAAACAATTTTGTGTAAAATTTTTTTCTTTTTCCAATTTTTCCAATTTTGTATAAAGTTTATGGCATTTCTAAATTAAAGAAGCTATAGTTTTGTCTTAGAGAATTCTTTCGTGCAATTAATTTTTAATTTAGCTTGATTGTTTCTACAACAACTGGCAATTCAGATCGCTACTCTATGAAAGTACCGCAAATTTTGTTTTACTTATACAGAGGAAAACTTATTGCTTTTCTAAATACTCTTTTTATTGATTATCGGACGTACGTTCTTTCTATTTAAATGTTTCTTGAAATAAACTAATTTCATCTATTAGAATTCAAACCACTCATGACCCATGTCAATCATATCAAGTCTTTATAACTATTCAAATTCTGTAAGTTTCCAAATTTAAAATTCTTTTTATGCAAATATAATTTTCATAATTCTTATCGAAATCATTAATTCAATAATTTCAATGAATTACTATGACACCTATTTTTTTTGATGTTGTATAATATTTTTTATTTCCGGTTAACTGTTATAGGCGTTGGCCACTACTAAGGCCAGAAGCTGTGATCTCTTTATTGAGGCACCTAATACGTGGACCACCGTTGCCTCCTAAGAACGGGAAAACAATTTACGTCCATATCTTGTCCGGGATCCCAACTTGGGCCCTTCGGTACGGCAGTCAGTGTCACTAACCACTTTGACTTCTGCGCGGCAAATAATGTTTGCATAATGTTATATTATATAATAACCTAACTTATATGTAAGTAACTGCTTTCGCATTTAATCATTCTGCCGTTAACAGTTAGACGGCATTGTCTAAAGGTATGCTTGTGTTGTTAATACCTGTAGAATAAATTTTGCATAGACCTGCTGGCATTCTAGCCAACTCATTTAAAGTCCAACAGAGCAGCTACAGTAATTAAAACATGCCTTAAAACTTTCAGTGTAAAATCTTAAAGTATTTTATGTTTATATATGAGGGCTAAGAATGTGTATAATCTAAAATGAATAAAAATCAGCATATTATCAATTTTTAAGAATGGCCTTAATTTTGTCATCTGAACCAACTTTTACTAATTTTTACTAGCAATTTAAACCTTCAGCTATTCAGTTTCCTGTAATTTTTTTAACCTTCAAAAAAATAATAATTTCGCAAATTATCTTTATAATCATCTAATAGCAAGAAGAAGCTTCCCATAGATTTGATGTAAATCAAGTTACCGATATGCTTTTCAATCCTTCGATACTCCGAACATGCATACTGTTTTATTAATCAAGATTTCTCTGATACTGCTGATATTCGCCATGAGGGAAGTTAGTAACAAATTTCTGATGCTTAATTTGAGTACCGTTATAAAGATCCGTCACTATTGTAATTTTGCCACGCACGTGATGATGGGTTTAATAATTATGTCTCTTATACTGCCTATATTTGAAATAGCGAATCGTATGCGATACCTTTTAACTAGGGAATTACTAGAAAGCAATTTAAGTCCATTTTAAATTTAATATTTATTCTAGGCAAAATTTTTACAGCCTTAATTTGAGTAAGTCCTCCCTGTAGATGAATTACTTTATAATCTTCAACAGCTTAATAGCTAATATTTCGTAACTTTACTTTCAAGTCGGGATTAATAAAGCTTTTGTACTTTAAAACGTTAAATTTTTGTTAAAGTAGTTACACTGTTTAAAGCTAAATGAACGTTAACTCACCTAAACCTGAATCCTAGTAATAAGTCCCCAAAACTTTGCTTTAGAAAACACATATGACAATGCAAAAGATTAACATGAGCAATTCATAACATAACGGGTTCATTTTGAAAGTTAAATAAAAGTGTTGAGCTATAGACATTTCTACATACAAATGTAGTTAAATTTTATTATAGAGACAAATTATGAGAAAACGAAAAAGAGAAAAAAAAATCCGAAAGGTTGCAGATTTTAAATTACGTCCAAAGGGTCGTTTTTTTTAACATTTTGTGCGTTACCCTATTAAATATGTTCTTCGCACTTAAACCATAAAATTCAGTTCAAGAGCAATATCGCAGAATAATTTTAAAATTAGCATATCTTTAGAATTTCAGATACATAGTCTCGCCCGCTGGAGATAAAAACGTTTTTCTGTACAAAATGCTATTGCTCGTTTTGAAATCCTTGAGTTTGTTAATCAAAAATGCGTTAAATGTTTACAAAATATGTAACCGATAACAAAACAAAATCCAAATTTCAAATTTGGGCTTCCAGACGCCCATATTCACAAGCGGATTACGATATTCAAACTTTGATGGCTCTGGGCTCCGTTGTTTTATCACAATGTGAGAAACATACATACATTTATGCAGATTCTTCATTATTTAATTTCTTTAAATAAAATACAGGGCGATAATATTTGGTGGCAACAATTTGAAAAGTGAAACAACGCTTGTAGTAAATCAACTCAAAATGCCAAAACGAAATTAAAGCCCTACTGGGCAAATTGCACCTTTGGACTAAGAATGAATTTCAATTAAATATTTGAAAATTTTAATGATTAAATAATAAAATGGTCTGCATTTTGATACGGAAAATTCATCAGCATGAATATTTATTATTCTCGCATTTAATGGTCTCTTCCAAATTAATTCTCTGAGTATAATTTCTTAGTGGTCCAAGTGAATAAAACTGTTAAATACAGTTCATCAAGACTTTAGCTGGAACCAAGCAGGTCTACTAGGTATTATCATGAATTTCCCCATGTGTAATAGGAATACAAGCCAGTTTCTCATAAAATCTTTTACAAAAATATCCATAGCAATATGATGTTGCAGATTTTGACATCTAAATACCACATGGCCCCAACCAGTAATAAAGGTTTGGGAGTTGCGGTACAATCACCTACTTATTTATTCTACTTTCAAAATGATATACTGATGTATAATGTTAGCGTTTCTCCATACGTATAAAGATGTAAACAATTTTCTAAACTTCGAATGGTGAATTATGTGTAGTCTTCAAAAAATAGTATACTGATTATAATATTGGTGTTTCTTCATTTGTATAAAGATGTAAACAATTTTTAATATTCGAATGGTGAATTATATGTAGTCATTTATGCGAATACATTAGTAAAGAATTGTAGGTCACCTATAAAATGGATATCCAAAGAGGAGGGCAGGCCTCAGCAAATTATAATCTACTTTACCTTGAATAATCTTTACCGGGGAATTTTAAGATCCGCAGTCACTCAGTATATTTTCTGGAGATGAATAAACCCGGGTGCTGTTTCATACCAAAGTGTTGATTATATCAATCTTCCGTCTTTGATTTTACTTAGGCCGTAACATTTTCTGAAAAATATTAATAGAGCAAACCCACGTTATCCTGAATCTCAAGCGAACTGCAAATCAAGAGGTCGTGTTAGAAAAATCCTTGTTAACAGGGGACACAAATTTTATTTTTGGAATAATATTTTCTACACATTAACCATTTACAAGATATAAATATAAGAGTACTATAATATTATATGCTTTTCGTCATAGAAAACACTATAATAAATGAATTACTGTACTGTAACTTGAAAAAAATGCACTCATCATTTTTTGGTGAAACATTCCTGTGCAGACGCGAACAAAAATGGCTGGTAACTTCACGGCCAACTGTACTCATGACTTCTGTGAAATTAGCTGTCAATTGAATGTTGCAATTCTACAGTGTGTAATATTCCTTGGTGAGTGGGCGGAATGATATTGTCCTCCTCACTTTCTTCTGATGACATTTCTTGCACCTCAGAATCACCTGCTTGTACCTCAGATTTCACTGGAGCACGACAACATTGTCTCACAGCTTCTTGTAGACTATTCCATTCTTCAGGTAAAGTGGTTGTCTGTCATTATCTTGCTCGTCAACAGGATTAGCATCTTTTTGTCTCCAGGCTCTGTTAGATCTATTAGATTAGGCTGTATAGGCTCTATTAAACAGCTTTTAATTAACACAAATTTAGCACGATGGATGCAATCTAGAAATAAGTTAAATAGGAATGTAAAGTAATACTCATGAAAATTTTACTAAAAGCTCTTCTATTGTAGAAAGCACGAAACAGACTTATAGATTAAAAACATTGCCTTCATAGCGCACATATAAATAATTATTATTTGGCGAACATTGGTGAAACAGCGCAAAATTAATTCTAAAAATGCGTTAACCTTTTTCTGTAATTTTTGATATTTTCTCTATTTTGGCTTAAGTAGAAACAGAAGAAACAGCTTTATTTAAAAAGCTGATAAATATTCTGAAAATCGTTTTTATATTTTAAGTAGATATTTATCTATTTATATAAATATAGTAATCGATTAAGAAAAAGGCGAATTATGATAATAAAACAGTTTGTAATTTATACGGAAACTAATTCTTGTTTCATCGAAAGAGTTTTTTAAACTCGAAGATACAGAAACCGTTGAAATGCGTATAGAAAAAGAAAATAAAATGATAACGCACACCAGGTGTCTTTTTCTCAGAATTCTTAATAAAGATATGTGAGAATTATATCAACATCATATCAGTCAGTTCGATAGTCAAGATCTGTTTCCAATTCTGGCCTAGTTTCAGAAAAAACACCTTAAGAAAATCTCGTAACTTCAACATTGTCATTCAGTTGTATTACCAGTAATCTAACATTATAAGGTATTTCTTCCGCCTTCCTAGAGTGTCTTCGTGGTGTAGTGGTTATGCACGCTGTGCCGGTATTCCAGAGGTCCGTGGTTCGATTCCCGGAGAAGGCGGTTGCTAAATTTTCATCTCTCCGGGTTTTACAATTAACCTAATGTCTCTATAACATCAATCAAAACTCGCAGGGAAATAATAAATTTTAATCATGGAAGATAATAAATTTTCTTCTTCTAGTTACTGGAGTACTTAAGTTTAAGGAAGTTTTATG